AGCATCACTTGGCTCATCTCTAACCCTGAAGAAAAGGCATGACATTCTAGTCTTTGACATGATACTAGCTGCTATTGTATGAGGCCAAGGTGAGAATTTCACATAAAAAGCCCGCATTTCTGCTTACTCAAGGAGAGAAGGCAGAGGTGAAGGGATTTTTCTCTAGTCTGCTACTCTGAAGACTGAGAGCCTGCTGAGGCCTTGCCTACCACCAACTTTGGACCCTAGTTATAAGGGACTGCCATGAATTAAAGCAGTGGTTTAGCCTTCTTCCCGTGACCTCTCATTAAAGGTAAAATGCTTGAGTCTAAAGATTTGGAATCTAATCATTGAACCAACATTGCAGTTGTTAATTTAATTTTCTAGTTCTAAACAATTTTGTGAACTGTTACTTGCATGCCTTGCCTTGACTACTTTGTAATACTAAATGAGTTCTTGCAAAATAAACCTGAATATCTCTCTATTAATTATCTGACATACAGTCCTATACAAGAAGTGTCATGCAATCATTAAAGTGGAACCCAGACCTTTTTGCACAAATGATGCTGAATAATTCCCTATTTGCTGAAAATCCCCAACTGCAAGAGACAACAGCTCCCAAATTTTCTTTAACAAATATACATCCCTAACACATACCTTAAATCATTGCCAGGCTTTGTAGATTCAGTAGGGGTTAACAGATGCTAGCAATGCAGGCTCCCAGTTTCATCTTGGTGTGCAATGATTAGGAAACACAACAGAGGTATTTCAGGAACCAAGTGTATATAGCTCTGCGTGTAGTTAAAACACAAGTCCAAAGGTGTGAACCAAAGAACTTAGACATCAGTCAGCAGTTTATTCAACAAATGCTGTAGGTGGGAGCAAATCCTCAGCTACAAAATTCAGATTTTAGCAAAACCAGAACAATGAGATTATAGAAACTTGAAGCAAATTTCCAAGAACTAGCAAAAGCACAAGGCAATGTCAATATGACCATTCAAATATTATTGGACTCCTAGTCCTTAAAACAACATTTCTATATCTTAATAATAACAAAAGTAATTTTAATGTGGCATGATAGAAAGACAAAGCAAAACAAAACTGAAACTGTTATCGGGACAAAGGCGGGCCCCTGCCCTGTGCGCAGTCAGGCCAAAACAGTTTACAAACCGAGATTGAGAAAAGGGAAAATTATTTATTGCAAAGCAGCAGTGCAAGGAGTTAGGGATAGTTAGTACCCTGATCTTAACTCCCCAGAGGCCATCAAACAGTTTTTGTAGGTTTCAGGAGAGGGGATTGTGCATATTCCCAAAAGGTTGAGGAATTTGGGGCGTGAAATGGGTGACAGATGAGTCACTAGTTTCTTGTTTTCAGCTGATAGGGGCTTGGGCAGAGGGGAGAGGGTCAGCAATTAACTTTTGTTCCCTTATGTCCTGGGCCAGAGTTCATTTACAAGTTATTTCTAAAATAGTTTTGAGCAAGTCTGTCATCTGCAGGAAGGAATGTTTTCCATTCAGTTCTTTAAGGAACTGAATACTCATCTGCCTGGGGTGGGAAAATAGTTGGGGGGTAATCCAGTTTACTTATTCCCCTGCAGGGTCTTATCTAATTATCAGTTTTAACCAGGGTGGGGAAAATAGTTGGGGGTAATCCAGTCTACCTATCTATTCCCATCCAGGTGCCAGGGTGGGGGAAATAGCACTGGGTTTCAAAACCATAGAAAGACAAAAGAAAACAAAAACACCAAACATGAAAGATCATAGCAGCTTTATTTGTATCTTTGAATTAAAAAAAAAAAAACAAACAAAACCAAAAACCTGTTGCCATCAAGTCAATTCTGATTCATGGTGACTTCATGTGTTACAGTGCAGAACTCTATAGGTTTGCTAAAGTCTGATTCTGAATACTTGGTTGTTGTTGTTGTTATGTGCCTTCAAGTCAAACCCGACTCATAGCGACCCCTCCTTGGGTTTCCGAGGCAGTATCACTACGGAAGTAGGATTGCCCAACCTTCCTTCCGAG